CTGGAAACTTCGTTTATTGTTGAGGAAACTTGGCCCAGTCGAGCATGATGGTTACACAAATTTCATGTAGCCGAAGAATGCAAGAGATTTCAGCTTCGATGAAACGATGAAAATGCAGACGCCGATTTTCGGTGAGCAGGTCTCTCTGTTCAGTGTTCGCTACAGTTGTTTGAAGTTAGTCAGACGTGATGCCCACGATTTTGTCACCCATGCCGGGATCGTGAATTGCGAATGTGAACTGGGCACGATGACATCTGATCAATTCAAGAGACACGAAAATGGTTGAAACTGCTGATCACAGGACAGAACCACTGTTGTCGCACAGCTATCCGTGGTCAAGTGATAAACCGGAATGGGTCAAATCAGAAGCCCCCGACCGCATGCTGGAATTGTGGCGCTTGTCATTTTGCGAGAGACTGTACCTAGAATGGGCATTAATGTCACAAGTGCAAGTGGTTTGACCATAAAGAAACCCACTGTCGAGTGGCCCACAACTACAGACATTCATTTCCCTCAAGATTGCTCAAAAACGTCAAATTCAAAACGGCTAGGTAATTCTCGCTGCGTTTCGCACGGAATTCGCACGTAACAGAAAGCATTTAACAGTAAAGGTCAAGGATATTCCCGTCACCTTGCAACTAGATACAGCGTCCCACGTCACCATCATTTCGCAATCGACGTGGTGGACAGAAATTGATTTGGCAGCGTGAAATGAAGGCACTGACGACCAAACTGGGTGTCGTTGGTCCTTCTCGCCTTCCGAGATGAAGTCCACATGACCCACCTTGTGCTTGGCTTGAGACTTTACAGGATATGGCTCGCAACCACACCAGTGGCGTGTTTGCTGTCGTCCCCTAGTCGGATTATCTGTTTAATGTGTATTTGATGCTGTTATCTGCTGGGTAATGGTTGATTATGACGCGGGGCAGTGAAAACGGCAAGTAAACTCTCTCGCCGATGCTGCCTTATCTTTACACGATAGCCATCTGTTGGTGACGGTATGTTGTCTACACAAGGTGTAGTCGCCTTGATGCTGAATGTTTGCTTAAGGCATTAAGATTTTCAGAGGTGCCATTTCTCTCCCTCTTTATTCTTCTTTATTCCATAGGTCCTCATGATTGTATGGCAGCAAAACATCAGTTCAAATGCCTGATGTACTGTTGTTGTTGTTGTTGTTGTTGATTGATTTGCCTACGGATTATTTATCTTTTACAGTCTGTTTGTAATTATGCTTCTAACGGATCCACTTTGGGTTCTGACAAGTTATTTGCAGCATAATGTGAAGTCGGAATTGACAGATTTTGTTAGTTTTGTCATGCACAAATGGCCCGAGGATGCACTTGTCACTGTGTGCGGTCCCTCACCGCGTATAACTTATATCGATGCAGCCGTAACCATTTAGTGAACCTCATTCGAATGTTGGAGGTTGATTTTCAGAGTAGTCGCGCCGATTAGCTAGGCCACAACCGAGCTTTGATAACATCTTGCAGATAACCGCAACTGCTTCAGTGTATCAGCGTCGGCGTAAAGATACGTGAGTTAGCAAATTTGACAGAGCTGGTTTTATATTTCCGCTCTCACACTTGTACGAATGGCGCTCTTCGATGCTACTAGTTAATAGACTTATTGATCATGCTCATATGCACTGATTAGATGCGGACAATGATCCTACTCCAGGTAGTTAATTTGGCCCGTGATATTCTGTGAGGTGATTTTGCCCCAGTTAGACCAACTGGTTCCATTCAGTCACTCAAATCATCACTCATGAACCACTCCAGGAAGACCACATGTGATATCGCTCCGAATAGAGGACACACTAAACATTCCGTTAATATATACACAAAGTCCTCGAACATATTTGTTATTTTCTAAATTGCATGCAATGTCTTTCCGATCAATAAAACGGCGTGAAGCACTTTTCACGTCACTTCCCTGTAAAGTTGGATAACGGAAGATAGCCTAAAATGAGTGCCAATGATCTTTCAGTCTATAAACTCATGGTGCCGTTCTAGGCACTGATTATATATATATATATATATATATATATGCGTATGTATATTTCTTGAAAGTGTGGGAAATTGTTCCTAAGTTAGAAACAGATCGGTATGTTCATGTTCTTGCGTGAATGCATGTTGTCACCCATTTTATCCTTTTAGACATTTTTTGGACCATCCTGGAATATTTCATCAGGTGAGTTGTCAGATGAGAACATAGATGATGTCACTACTAAATCAAAGCATCTGTCGAGTTTGGTGTGGGGTTTACATATGTCCTGATTGTGGTTGATAGGCTGTTCCACAAGACAGCGTATCTGATGAGGAAAACGTTCGACTGCATTGACGTCCTCGCCCCTGGTTTCCTTAGCGTAAACTTTTTGTTACGGAGTCTGTGATGGTCACTGTGTTACATCTCTGTTATATAGGTAACAACATGTTTTCCGGTGCAACAAAGTGTGGAGGAGCATAAAGTGTTGCTTTAGACGTCGCAACCACAGAGGCTCGATGTGAAGTTGTTCACAACGTTCGCGATAGTTTAGAGTGCATATGCCTTTGAGCAAAATTTTAGTGAATGACTTCTGTAAATTTTCTGTGGACTTCCTATCTAACTTCTGCATACTGCCGTAGGTGAAGTTACATTATTTGAGAGTAGGACGAGTGAGAGTTTTAAATACTTCCAATCTGACAGGGACTGCATGAATTTTGTGGCAAATGTCAGCCAACGATTGTTTAGCTGAGCCATATGGTTTTGGGCTTGCTCAGCAAAAGGAAGTCGGAAGAGTAGCGGATTCCAAAATCCCGAATAGACTGCTGTATGGGCATACTTTTGTTGTTAAATTTAGTTGATCCATCGGGGATCGAGCAACCGCATGGCATAATGTTTGAGTTGTTGGTTGAGAATTTTGTCAACCACCTCTCAGACCATTCTTCAAAAGAGTGAAGATCTTCTTGAATTACTAGTAGTGTGCTCTGATGCGCATCACGCCGGAGTTTGTAAACAATCTTGATAACATTGCAAATAAAGTGTTGGACACTTTGATGGAGCTGCTATATATATACGCCGCTGGGTATTAGACGAGGAGAAGAATGGTGATCACCAAAAGTGACTATTTGAAACCGATTGCTAAGGTAGGAGAAAAACCAACATAAAAGCTTGTTCTGAATTCCAAAGGATTCGATCTTTTTCAACAACCGTTTATGTGATACACGGTCAAATACATTTTCTAGGTCCAGAAGCAACATTATTATTGCATAACCGGAACCTATATATTCTGAAGTGTAGTTAAACTAGTGTAGCTGGCAGGTGGTGCAGAACGACTATCAAGGAAACCATGTTGAGATGTGTTAAACAGGTTCAGGAAATTAAGGAATTCCATCAACGTTTTCTTGACTACTCTTTCAAACAGAATGGCGTTGGTAGGAATATGATGATCGGTTGGTAATTGCTAACATTTTGCTTAGGACCACTTGTATGGCGTGCGATAATGAATGAGGTTTTCCATTGATCAAGGAAATAGCCAGTTTGTAGCGATAAAGTGTACCTGTTCAACAACAGTAACGGTAAGTCTGGCCCTCCCACTTTAATCGCAGTCGTAGGGATGCCGTCGGAGTCCAACCAGAGAGAAGGTTTGATGGTTTTCACTAACCGCTGAATAGTCCTGAGAAAAATTACGACACTGTTTAGACTTTTGGTTGTAGCGGGTTGTGAGTATTCAGGTATGGGGTCTGATTCAAAAATCATGGAGGCAAATGTGATTGCCTAGTTAAGTTTAACCCCTTGAATTCAGCAATAGAAGTAGCACAGCTTGAAAAGTTGTGGAATTGATCGGTCTTAGCTGTGGCGTTGTTAAGGACTAATACCACAACATTATTTAGACATGTTACTTAGAACACTGCCCACTTTCTTTATCCGTCTCCTACTGTTCCCCTCTGGTGAGGAATTATCACGCAAGGAAACCTGGACAGATCTTGTTTTTTTTCGTCCTGAGAAAGGGTTTGTTTACACAACACATACGCAAGTATGCATATATATATATATATATATATATATATATATGCACATTTAACACAGCGCAGCTTAACTATCCCACAAGAAATGGGACCTGTAAATAATACTGTGTCAGCTGCAGGCCGTAGCGGCGCTTCGCTGCCGCGCGACCACTATCTCAATCGCACGTGGCATGAGTATACCACGAGGACGCCCGCCCCTACGCGGTTTCGAACCGGTGACTCCTATGACTGCAAACCAGGCGTGCAGACCACTCGGCTACCGGTCGACAATGGGGCCTATACAGTATACAAACGGCTTTGTTAATTACTACCTTTCTGCTAAGCCGCGGCGAAGAACATTTGGCCGACTGTCATCGCTTCGACGGTTTTGCAATCGAACCGGGGGATCTGCCACTCGAGCAGACAATGACGCTCATTGTCTTGCCACTGATTTCCGACCCTAGACGACAACGGCTAGTGAGCTTATACAGCGGTCAAATGAATGTGTGACGAATAAGACTAGCAAGAGTGGATCCTTACTGATTACATGGGGTGAAATATCAAGAATAAGGTAGTAAGTTCACTAATCGAATATGGTAATCGTGGACCGGTCATTCGCACACTACGATGAATAAGCCAAGCAGTAACATGGACGCACCCGTCCGCATTCTGAAAGCCTGATCGCTGCGCCAAAGAATAGTTAGACTCAGACCTAATTCGCTGCAACATATGCACATAGGAGCCTGACATGTTGAAAACTAAAGTGACCAGTGGAGTACAACCAGTCTGGTGAATTCATGCATGTTTGAGGGACACCGACAACGGGATTTTGGTACCTTAACTCCACCGTCGTCATTATATGAAGGAACGCGTGTTTCGGCCCGAGATCAAGTGTGTCGGGTCGTCTCGCTAAATAGGTACAGTACCCAACGCTTATTGATGATCAACGATATCACGCCTATCGCTAGGCAATACAGGGGAATTACAATGTTTCAGAGTAGATAGTTCACTTACCGCGAGTTGTCTTTGGCCTCGAGCATTTGTGCCTTGATCTCGGATCCACGACCATAGGGCGGTGCGTCTGGATTCAACACTGTCCACGCTTGCATCACCCACCGGGCGGTCTTACTACGCAGCGCTTCGGACACTGCGGTCAACACCTTGCAACGATAGCGCCAGTAGTCCACTTCGTCCAGCGGCCCGGAGCTGATAGGTCTGGGCTGATCCAATGCAGCGAGGACCGCGTCGATTTGGTCATCTGAATAATAGGAGAACGCAGACGCAAAGATAATGAACTTGGGATGACAATGATATTGGTTAAATATTACGTTTCTTAAAGTTTGTCGTGGAGCCACATGAAGCGGAGCTTATTCATTTTTTTACTAGTGAGTGTGTCTAATATCCTCATGATTGGAGCACACGCAAAAACGCAGAACAATTCTTGTGCAAAACACTGGTTTGCGGCCTTGACGTAACATTAACCTACATGCATGCTACATGTTCGTGTCTAAGTGACCACACTGCCTAAATATTGAGACGAGTGCTCGGAGGTAGACTCGAAGGTAGAAATCCATAAAATCTTACCCCATGTCTTCAACAACCGAGACAGCTGAGGTATCATCAAGTAATCTCGCGACGGGTCGATCACGTAGTTCTCCGATGGCATAAAATCTGGCTCTTCCAAATTAAACACACCCTGGAGTGCATGAATGGTCTCTTCCAAAACCGAACTAAACTTGAAAAGTGTCACGCTGAATTCATCACGTAGTCGCTGTGAGTCCTCCACACCGCCGCCGTACGGTCCGCTCCGCCCCGTCAGACTTTGTCCACTTTTGGAGGGGTGTGTGGAGGAGTCCTCTGTGCTGTGGGCACTTTCCTCTGCTCCCCTGTAACCAGATTTCGCTAGGGAACCCACAATAGCCCCAGTATTACGCGCTTGCCTGTTCTTTGACAATGGCTTCGGTGTCGTACTATCTTCTCCGTGGGTGTAAATCTCTTTTCGTTGCGTGTAATACGCCAACATACGCATGTAGACCTGAATGGTGTAGAGAGGTAGAGAAAGACACCGCCTGAGCAGTTTAACATAGTAATCAATACTGCGCTAGGTAACTATTGGCAGTTTCCTGGGCCAAGAGAAAGCTCGTTGTTGAACATCACTCTTGCGAGCAACACTGGACTGTTTGGTAATGGTGATGTCAATCTCAGCCCCTGTACAAACGGAGGATTTGCAAAGCCAGATGATTAGGTGAAGTACGCTAACACGCAAGAAGTTGAGGTCTTTACTCCGTTCGTGCATTACATGGAAGTTCGTGAGTCAGCTCAGTCTTATGACGTATCGCAATCAGACCCTAAACGGTCAGTAAATTCATGCCATTTTTCCCTGTAGAAGAGGAGCTAGTAGTAGCATGTGACTGAGCCGACGAATTTCGAGCTACCGTTGCGCTAAGGAGCACGCTGTTCAAATGCTGACCTCCATCTGAACAAACATCACACAGTGTGAACGATGATAAGTGAGACTACGCATAGATCATGAATGAGATGTAAACGATACTTCTAGGTGGGGCCGAATTGGGTGGCGAAACAGATAATAATAATAATAACAACAACAATATACTAATACGATAACAATAATAACCATAATAAGTATAATATGCAGTTGCAGTATGTGGCGCTGCTCAGCTATGCCGACTTCCGAATGTGAGCAGCTAGTATAACGGCAGCCAAAAATGATCCAAAGTTAGCGGCTGTTCCTTCTAGCATCATCTCAAAGACATTCTATAGTATCATAAAAGACAGCGTAGCACTAAGCGGAGCTTACCAAACTTAAGCCGCCAATTAACTTATGGCATTGTAAGAAGTTTGGTCTGCGTATTGATTACACGGCAGTAACGTGTAAGTCAGTGGATAGTACGCAGCGCTATATCACATCTAGTAACTAATTCACGATGGCCGTTACCGTCCCCTGTAGCTCATTGGTCTCAACCACGGACTGGTAACAGTCGAGTTGCAGGTCCGAGCCCTACCAGGGTCCGATGGAATGCGCACTGCGGACGATTCCTGTAAGGATGAAACTAGCGTACTGCTTTTCCGGGTGTGTGACGGCTGTCTGAGTGAGCCTAGATGTGACGAATTTCTACCTATACCATTCAACTCCCCTACTACTCCTCTGAAAACAAATTTACTTAAGCGGATTGAGACTGCGTAGCAGTCTCTGCTTATGTGCATTGCTTAGCGGTGCACTACAAGACCCAATACATCTGCCGTCGTCCTACGTGTTCAAGGGGAAAGTGTCGCGCAATCTATTCGTCACTTAGATCGGCTCCGTTGCCAAGGTTATAGTTCTGCAACGAACCAGTCGCAAATCGGTTGACCATAACATGGAAGTGGGTTCAAATGTAGCTGTTCATGTGGGGATAGCGAACGGGAATTATTGAATGAAATATCCAAAGCTAATCGGGTGTATGGCCTTGAAAGCTTGATTATTCCGCCACTGGATTTGAACCCTGGAACACGATTCAGTTGGCTTCAGTTAGATACATGTGATCAGAACACCGAAGCGCGGTGGATCTATTGTTCATTTATTGGAAATACCCAATGTGTGGATGCGTTGGGACACGATCCAAATTAAGGATGTAATTCACCTTGAAATGTGTCTCGGGTAACCCGATCACTGGGATCGCATCCGATTCGGGCAACTCTTAAACATAGTGTGCTCATAACTCCCCACCCAGCATCGGTTTCATGTGTGTTTTCACTCGATAGTTAGACATAGCTGTCGTGTAGCACCCTCCGAGAATCAAAAAAGAAGTCTGGGTTACGATCAGAATCTATTTGGATCAGAATGCAACGTATTATTTATTGGGTAACTTACGCTCCGTTGAGCGATCCCGGTTTGCTCTTCCGTAATTGGCTGCCTCTGGCGGAAACTTAGCATCGATCTAGCCAGTTGGTCGCGAGGGATTACAATGCGATTCTCGTCCGCGCGCGTACTCGTTGCTGTTTGACCGGTGGCGGACAATCGATCAAGCGGCCTCCTGCCTGTCCGTTCCGAACGCGTAGGCGAATACAAGCAGCTGCCATTACCGTGTTCACATCACACCCCCGCTTTTTCAGTGTGGGCTCCTTCGGTTTTGAAATTCCGTACGCACTTCCGCTGGGTGTCCACTTTCTGTCATATCCGTTACCTCTGCTTTCTTGCTGGTTTTGTCGCTGGCTCGGTATCGCACTCCTTGGCCGATTCTGTCTCATGTGAATGCGGTTTTGCCGGTACAAACCTATTCCCACCTTGACTACATAACTTGCTCCTACCTGCGTTTCAACCACTCCTCTCCTCCACTAGTTTCCTGTTCCAGGCGCCAGTTGTATCAAAACCTCTTCGCCGACCAGAAGCGGTAGTAATTATTTAGGTCCGCAGTCATAATACCGTTTCTGCCTAAGCTTTCGTTTTACCAAACGATCATGCATCATAGCCGGGGATTGTGCTTTCGGTTGGAGCAGGATTTTGACCGCGAGCAACAACGTTCTCGTTCTGCGGCTGAATAAACCTTGAACAAAGCTCACTGCAATTTCAGGAGACGGAGTGTTTCTTCTTTCCAGAAGCATGATATACGGGTCCTCGTTCAGTTCTTTAGCTTTAATTAGTAAACTCTTTGCATCTTTCACCGCTGCTTCAGCCTTTCCGTTCGACTGGCTGTGGTAAGGGCTGGTTAGGCGATGATCACCGCATCAGTACTGGTCATGGGGATCGTATCAATCGCAAAACAGTCACCGAAGTAATCTACCGTGATTAGATAGTCCCTTCCATCTTGCGTAAACTGGCCAACTGCCACACTCTTCCACGGTCTTTCCGGAACCTCTCAAAATGCTATTGGTTCTTCTGTTTGTTCACGATAACTTGGGCAGTTCGATACGTAGTCCCCAATCTGACTAGCCATCTCAGGCCAAAACATCAGCTTCCTGGCTCATGCAACACAATTATTCACTCCAAAGTATGCACCGTTAATCATCTCCAGCACGGTGCGTTGCACTGCATTTGGGACTAACACTCGATTTCCTTTAAAGATCAAACCGGTTCTTTCATGAAAATTGAAAACGGTGTCAGTTTCACCGACAAACTCTTCTTAACCTCTGGCCATGTATCAGTTATTGTTCGTTCTAGACTTCTGCGAACTGCATCTTCATCCGTGCAACGTTTTAGTTGTTGTAAATGCTCTCGGCTGACGGCGAGTTACTGTGTCGCGTGAGCCGTGTCGAGGTCCTCTCTTATTGCATCTACATCAGAAAGATGGGCTCTGAACAGCGCGTCTGCAATGTACATTTATGTCCAGGGCTGGTAGATGATTTCCAAATCGTATTTAAGAAGCCGGATGAGCATCCCGTGGAGACGACACGGCACAACATGTAGTGGCTTTTTGACGATCGACACCAATGGCTTGTGATCTGTGTATACAGTGGCCTTTCGCCTGAAAATGTAGTAGTTGAAGCGTTCTGCTGCGTACGTGATCGCGAGCATCTCTTTCTCGATTTGTGCATACCGATCTTCAGTTGATTTTGAACTTCGTGATATAAATCGACTTATCACCTCTACGAAGTCATCATGGTATGCCGGACCTGATAAATTACCACCAACACTTATAAAATACGGTGGATCTGACTTCCCTGTACTACTTTTGAATCTTTTTTCTCTATCCATGAACACCGGTACCGTGCCATCACAGTGGAAGACGGCTGTAGTCATTCCTCGCTACAAGTCAGGCTCTGTGCATGAAATGAGCAACTACCGCCCAATAAGCCATACTTCTATCCTCTCAAAATGATGGAGCGTCACATAAAGTCCAAAACTGTGGACTTCATGATGTCGCGAAATCTTATCAACACCTCACAACACGGCTTCCTAAGCACGCGATCCTGCATAACATGTCAGATAGACTTTCTCAGTCTCCTGACTACTTCGCTCGATGACGGTTCATCAGCGATAGTCATCTACCTCGATATGCACAAAGCATTTGATCGTGTCCCTCATAACCACCTCTTATCCAAACTAACTGCATATGGCATAGACAACCCTCTGCTTTCATGGTTTGATTCTTACCTAACTAATAGAACCCAGGTTGTTCAGATCGAGCACGAAACAAGCACGCCAAAGCCTGTCACCAGTGGTGTGATACAAGGTAGTGTTCTGGGACCCTTTTTATTCCTACTTTACGTAAATGATATTTTTGATGTCTTTGCCTCCGGCAAACCTTTCCTGTTTGCCGATGACATCAAAATTGTTTACACTTTTAATCCAACTGAGGTCAGTGATACGCTTAGCGAAATCCAGCATGACTTACGTACACTGGACTCATGGAGTTCCAAATGGATGATGACATTCTCTACTGATAAATGCCACGTGGTATCCTACAGATGTGACATCACACCAGGTTCGCTAACTATAGATGGTAAACCATTGTCTCACTGCCACACTATCCGTGACCTAGGGATCCACTACTCGAGCACCCTTAACTTTTCCGAACACGCAGGACACACCGCAGCTCAAGCCCGCCGAAGCATTGGGCTTTTGTTCAAAACATTTAACTTAAAAGAATCCATTAACACCATGTATAGAATAAAAACGCGCCCGCTGCTTGAATATGGCTCCATCACCTACTGTAATTCTAGAGTGAGTGATCGTATGGCATTGGAACGTGTTCAACGATCATTTACTAAGCGTCTTCTAGGCTATTCCACCACCCTATCTTACATGGATCGTTGCGTTGCCTTAAAACTTGATCCACTGTGGCTGCGAAGAATGAAACTTAACCTTTTCATCTTCTTTGACACAATTACCCAAAAAATACATTCTTCACGCCCATCGGTACAACGAGCAGAATTATCAAATTATCGCACCCGAAATAACAATCACAATAAAGTAAAAGTGAAAAGATCACGAACGAAACTGTCTGACAACTTTTTCCTAAATCGATACTCCATATTGTGGAACAGGCTTCCATCTGAGATACGTGCAATCCAGTCAGGGATGAAGTTCCGACACGT